TTATTTTTTAAAAAAAATATTTCATTTACAGTTTATTTTTATTCTATAAAATTGAAAATTGAATCATATATTTAAAAACACTGTATCATTCAAGAATATAATTGAAAGTAATATTCATATATGATCTTAGAAATTTTTAAATCTTTCTGTTACAATTTAGAAATTTTTGACATTAGCTACTAATAAAGTATTGATTCCGATTTAAGAAGTTCATATAAGTTCAAATGATTCCAACAATTAGTATAAAAAATAAACTTCATAATTGATTAATACCAGAGTACAAAAACTGGAGAAGGCCTGGAGAAATTCTCTTTTGTTATTCAAGCAATCAATTGAAAATTATCTGAAACATCTTAAGAACTGAAAAGAAGAGTATTACTTATAATGCTCCAATCCTTTATGAATTCATTCACAAGTGACTTCTTGGAGGTTGCTACCAGCCACATCAACCACAAACCTGTACCTCACATCGTTCTTTTCCATTCTCTTAAATGCCTTGTTTATATAATCCATCTTCACTATCTCTATCATTGATGTCAGTTCTTTCTCTGCCCAGAAATTCAAGATCTCCTGTGTCTCCTCCATGCTCCCAATGAAGCTCCCTGTTAGTACCTTCTTCCCTGTTTCCCAAACATAATACTCAATCATAACCCTTTTACAGATCTACCCATAAAATTATCCTTATACACATATGATTACCTTAAAGGGGAAGAGAGAGAGAGAGAGAGAGAGAGAGAGAGAGAGAGTGATATACCTAAAATTAATTCAGTATTGTTGAATTCCAAATGTTTTGGGGCAACCCCAAGAAAGATGAGCTTCCCATTAACTTTGAGAAGTGGAAGGTATGAGTCGAGAGAGTGCACAGCAGGGACTGTGTCAAGAATAAAGTCAAGGCTATTGGCTGCTGCCTCCATGTCTGCTGCATTGGAGCTCACCACAAAGGCATCTGCCCCTAAATGCTCCAATGCCTCTGCCCTTTTCTTATCAGAAGAGCTTAGAACAGTCACATGGTGTCCCATTGCCTTTGCTATTAGAACACCTAGATGTCCTACCCCTCCCAATCCTAATATTCCTGCCTTTAGGACTTTATCACTGTTCATGAACTGCTTCAAGGGACTGTATGCTGTCACCCCTGCGCATAGTAGTGGCGCTGCTTGCTCCGGTGCTAGCTTCTTTGGTATCTTTACTACGAATCTGAAACATAGTTTAAATTAGTACTAGTTTAGTACATTTATTTAATATACCCATTAATACCTATGAAGGGAAAAGAAAAAGAACAAGCAGCAGTAATTTTTCTGGTTTACCTGTGATGAACAACCATGGCAGAAGAATAGCCTCCTTGAGTGGGTCTTCCATCTTTGTAGATGCCATTATATGTGAATATTCTGTTGTTGCAGTAATTTTCCGTATTTGATTTGCAGAGCAAACAATCCCCACAAGATCCAACTATACATCCAACTCCAACCAACTCCCCTATCTTCAACTTCTTCACTTCTGAACCCAACTCCATAATCTCTCCCACCACTTCATGCCTTACGAACATAAAACAAATTCTCACACACATGCACGCACGTGTATTCTCTTATATATATGTATATGTATTGATTGGAGAAGAGCATGATGCTTACCCTGCAACTAAAGGGTAGTTGGCGGGGTGAACCTCATCCTTTATTTGATGAAGATCACTGTGATCGACACCGCAGTACAGCACCTTAAACATTACATCTTCTGGTCCTGTTTCTCTGTTATGGAACCAAAACAGAATATTACTTCTAAAATTGACTAACAAACATACAGGTTCTTATGGAGTTTTAAATTTGGTTTAATGTAGAATTAACACCATTTAATACACAAATCTAGCATTCTTCTCACTTGTTCAGTTCCTTATATTAGTTATGAATCATTTTGAAGAAGAAAGAGAGACCTGAGAGTGAAAGAATAAGGTGAGAGATGCCCAGATGAATCCCTAGCAGCCCAACCAATCACTTTTCTTCCTCCCTCCATTTTCTCCGCATCAAATCTAAAGGATCAACAAAATGTATATCAGCAAATTTGCATGGTAAACGAAGAAGGTGTGGAGGTTTGTGGTGTCTGGGCTTTGGATTTTATATCCAACTGGGAAGGATCTTTATATGATCAAGGTTCTTTTTTTATTGTGTTTAATTAAGTATTTTTTATTTTTTAAATTAAGATCAGAAAAAGTCAAAAAGTCAAAAGTTAAATTAACAAAGCATGCAAATTATTTTAAACTTGTAGTGGCGGCGGCCTATACTATATACTATATAATTAATTTATTTTATAATCCATTCAAAAGAATAATTGTTTTATAAAACAAATTAAATCGCCTGTGTAAACATTTTCTTACTTGTCCTTTATGCGTCAGTGATTATTTTGGTCATCACATACGTCATGAAATTGTCAACACATACTTGAGAAATTATTGTTCAAGATTTGTCACGTCATTTAAATTGAATTAGTGCTTTTTATGGGTTTTAATTAAGTAAATTAAAGTGTTATCTATAATTCTAATTTGATTAATTTGAAAATAAAATCATATATTTATTTTAAGATAATTCAAAATTTTAAAGTGTTACTATAGATTAAAAAAAAATATTACTTCATTTTAATGAATCTAGTAATTACCTCATGATTTTGATAATTTTTTTATTATTTAAATTGTTGATCAATAAACAAATCCAAATATAATTTTATAAAATTTAAAATGATTTATTCGAATTAAATTATGTTGAGTGCATAATTATTTATCTTAATAAAAAATAAAACAAACATTTTTCTAGTTTTTATTTCAATAACAAATTTAATCTCTCTTTGAATTGTGGTATTTCATGGTTAATTAAAATAGGGTATGGTATTAGGATGATGAAATCTTTTTGTTTCCTGGTATAATTATTTAAAAGTATTTCACGGTATCTGAAAGACAAGTTTTAGGTGAATTTTTAAAATTATGCGTAGTTTTGATGAACTCATATTTTTGTTCCAGTTATATCCTTATTAAATTTTATTAATCTCTGTTTTATTCTAATTATTTATTTATTTATTTACTACTATAATTATTTGAAATACCTTTTAATTTTTTATTTTTTAAAATAATTTTAAATTTAATATAATAATATATAAGTATAATTATTCATTTTTTATATATAAATAATTTTAATTTTATTAAAATAAAATTAATACGATAATGTAAATAATAATTATATATTATCAAATATAATAATTAAATGTGATAATGTATAATAATTATTTATATAAATATAAATTTAATTATATTTTTATATAATTTATTTTTTTATTGTATTCTTTTTATATATATTTTTTTATTTAATGTTACATATAATAAAATATGAATAAATTAGTAATTTGATTGAATATACAATCATACCATTGTATCAATTTAAATAAAACAGTTGTCATTACCAAACATTAATATACAAATATGGTATAACTTTATTATTATTATTTTGTATTATTACCATACATTAATTACCCACCACAAAATTCATCTAACCAGAATATTAAAAGCATGTATTATTACTCAACAGTCATTAAAAATAATAAAATCATTATATTGATAACTATGAAATCATAAATTGTTATAAAATAATTTATAAAATTTTATTTTTATTAGACAAAATCATAAAGGGTGAAACTCTAATTTATTATTAATTTCAAAATAATGTTTTAATAAAATGCATGAAAAATAATAATTTCTTGTAATAGTCAGGTATGTATGGGAGTAGGATGGATGGTCGGGATGGGACGGGATGGGATGGGAAAAATCAACAATTAGGATGTGAAGTTGAGTGGAGTATCATCGGGCAAAGAAAGGAAATCAGGGAGGAAAAGAAAGGAAATGAGGAAAAACAGAGAATGCGAGTGCGAGAAAGAGAGAGAGAGAGAGGCGATTGCGAGAGGTGAGCGATCGGAGGCGAGTGCAGAAAACGATTGATCGGAAGTTCTGAAAGAGGTGAGGTCACGGTGGATTTGGTGAGAGAGAAGAGTATGGAATCAAGAGGTAAGAAGAATTTGGAGTTTCAAAACTGATTTGTGGCAATACATGTTGAATTTCTATATTGCATGTTAACCGATGGTTACAGATGTAGGGAATATGGATTAAGGAAGTACTTTGAGGTGGAATTATATTCGGGAGTAGTAAACGGGCAAGGAGATGATATGTTCATGAGCTGTAGGGGAGAGAGAGGAGTTTTAGCAATCCGATATTTAGGGATTTCTATGAGTACATGAGGAGGATTAGAGAAGGTTATAGGTGAAGTCGGTTAGGATCTACGGGGAGAGAGGACTGTTAGGAATGAACAGAACTGAGCAAAACGAGAGGTGAGGGAGACGAAAAGGGATGAGGTCATCTATTGGCCAACACTTTCTGATTCAGGCATGTGTTTGGGAGGCCTTTGGCTCATACTTAGGGATTTTCGGGTGCCGATGTGTTGAGAATGCGAGTCTGTGTGTGTATGTTCGTGGCCACTCAGTGGTCGGTGGGTGCCTGGGCGTTTTCGGGTGTGCAAGGTGCCGATAGGGTGTAGAGGCACGTCCTGTGCATATGGCCACTCAGTGGCTGGGATGTGGTTGGAGTGAAGCAGGTGGTGGTGTATGGAGGTGCTAGTAGAGTGAAGAGGCACGGTTGTGTGAGTGTGACCCTTAAGGATCGACAGTTGTGTGAGTGTAGCTCTTAAGGGATCGATAACTATGTGAGTGTTGCCCTTAAGGGGTTGATATGTGTTAGGGAGCGTCTACTATTGTGGTGAGACAGTGAATGCGGCACATGGGTTCGTGGGTGGCCTTCAAGGGTCATTATTTGCGCCAAAAGGTGTGGTATAAAGTGGGTGGTGGGAATGTGGGAAAAAGAGAGACATGGTTGAGTGGTAGTATTTGTGAGGACTATTAGTTGTTCTGGGTTGTTATAGTATTTGGTGTGGCGGTATTGCTGAATGTGTTCTGTATCTAGGAGTCGCTAGGGCCGCAGGAAAGTATTAGGTTAGAGACGAAGTTAGAGACAGTAGGTAGTAAATGAGTGTGAGTGTGAGTGTGAGTGTGAGTGTGAGAGAAGCATGGGTGGAGAGGAAGTGTACTGAGTAGGAAGGAAGAAAGATGGAGTGTGGAATAAAATGTTGGGAAGGGAGTCTACCTAATTGTTATACTTTAGTTTTAAATTCTAAATTATTTTTATTGGGTTATGTATACTCATCATCTTAATTTTTAAATGCAGTGCAACAGGAACTAAAACTGGAATGCTTAGCCACGGACTCCATACTTGAGGGAGATAGAATAGTAGTATTGAACTTGATATGAAGTGTTACAATTAATTATGTTAAAGTAATAGATGATTCTCATGTGTTTGTTTGTATTCGTTAGATTGATTTTGGATTAAATGTTGTATATCTTGTAAATAATTGTTTTTATTTTATGGTAAAAGTCTTTACAGCGTTGGTTGAATTTTTTCGATACGATGCGTTGATATAGATTAGTGGAATATCTTATTCTTATTTTGTAGGATAGGAAGTAGTTTGTCACATTTTTCATGTCTAATTTAAAAAGAAAATCTAAAATTATTATATTTGAAAAAGTTTTGTAACATTTTTAAGCTATTATACTTACTTTTAAAAACATTTCTTAATATTTTCCTATGAGATTGGTGGACTGAAATAAATAAATGTATATATGTATAATATTTATACTTTTAAAGTTAAATAACAAAATAAGGTAATTTATAAAGGATAAAGAGTATAAACCACAAACTTCGAAAATAAAAGAAATTAGAATTTTTAAAAGAAAATAAAAATAAAAAATAAAAAGAATTATGGGCCCACTAAATGAGCTCATGGTGTGGTTAATATAACAACACCTCAAAAAGTTGGTCTTCTTTTGTCTGTAAAATTGGAAGTTCGCTCTCTATTCAATCCGACGTTTTGCAATGACTCGCAAAGGGGACTGTTGATGAAGCAAGGTTGCGTCAATGGAAACCGCGGTGCTCCATCATCCAATTGGCCTTACCAAATTCCCTTCTCTAAGTCGACCCGCACGAACCAGCCCAGTTAACTCGCCCAAACTCGTTTTGCACCATCAGTTTCCCCAATTTCACTTCGATTCTCCTAACTTTCATCGGTTGATAGTCCATTGCGTAGCCCAGGCCAGCAATCACCACCGAAACAACCACCGCGACCAACATCATAGTCACGAACACACGCATCACGATCACGTTGGCGCTCATCATAATCATCACAATCACGATCACCATCACCATCATCATGGTGGCACGCAGGAGCTGAGGGGGCCGCAGAGAGCGTTGATTGGGTTTGCGAGAACCATAGGATGGGTTCACCTAGCAAATTTCTTGAGGGAGCACCTTCAGCTCTGCTGCTGTGCCACAGCTTTATTCCTCGCCGCTGCTGCTTGCCCTTACTTGGTCCCAAAACCGGCCGTCAAGTCTTTACAGAAAACCTTCATTTTTATCGGTTTCCCGTTAGTTGGAGTAAGGTTTTCTTTCTACGCGTATGTTTTATCTGAATGTTACTCGGTTTTGCAGAAGTATCTGCGGTTCTCTATCTAACTTTTGTCTGTTATCATGTGAAATTTAGAGTTTCTTGATATGCATAGAAATTATTAATGAAATTCTATTATTCTATCATTTAAAAATTAGGTCTCTGCAGCTCTTGATGCACTTACTGATTTAGCTGGTGGTAAAGTTAACATTCATGTCTTGATGGCATTAGCGGCCTTTGCCTCCATATTCATGGGGAACTCACTTGAAGGAGGATTACTTCTAGCAATGTTCAATCTTGCTCATATAGGTGAGCCAGTAAAGCTTTTAGCTCTTGAGTGATAATTCTTGTCGGGAAAGCTTATAAGTTTCCTGCTCCTGTTTGTTGTCATTCCTCCAGCTGAAGAGTTCTTCACCAGCCGGTCTGTGGTGGATGTTAAAGAGTTGAAGGAAAATTACCCTAATTCTGCCCTTGTGCTAGATGTGAATGATGAAAATTTACCAAATACCTCTGATTTGTCTTACAGAAGCATTCCGGTGCATGATGTGGAAGTTGGTTCCTATATTTTGGTCGGAACTGGTGAGGTCTGTGATAACTCATCTGTTTCGCATTTACTACGATTATAATTTATCTTTAACTTTCTTTCTTATTAAATAAAATGAAAATTAACTTTCTTTCTTATTAAATAAAATGAAAATGAACCTTTCTTTGCCTGATTGAAAGAAATGTAGCATTCACATTTTTCCCTCTGCGCTGCTATTTAAGCTGTTTTCTATTTTCCTGCAACCTCAATAGCTATGGAGAAGTAAATATCTTTGCCAACCCGTTTCCTCAAAAATTGTAGGTTTAAGATGTGTTAACTCATGTTCTACATATGGAAATTGATAGTGGAGATTGTTACTGTGTTTAGGCTGTGCCTGTAGATTGTGAAGTTTATCAAGGTGGTGCAACCATTACCATTGAACACTTAACTGGAGAAATCAAACCATTGGAAGCAAAAGTTGGAGACAGGATTCCTGGAGGTGCAAGGAATTTGGATGGTAGAATGATTGTGAAGGTATTTTAAAACGTTGTTTATGTCTGAATCTTTTCCAACTTGATGTCAATTTTTTATAATTCCTGTAATTTGTGAGCATGTAAATGACAACAATTTTCTGTTGATGTTATTCATTGTTAATTCTTCTTCATTGCTATACACAAAAAAAAAAAACCTTCAAATTTTTTTGTTCTCATTTGCTAATTTACACTACTTGTTCTTATCTTTTTTTCCTTAAACTTTTTTCCATGGATTCTGACACAGGCAACAAAGACATGGAAAGACTCAACTCTAAGCAAGATTGTGCAGTTGACTGAAGAAGCACAATCAAATAAGCCAAAACTTCAAAGATGGTTGGATGAATTTGGTGAAAATTACAGCAAGGTGGTAGTCGTTCTATCAGTAGCTGTTGCCCTTCTTGGGCCTTTTCTTTTTAAGTGGCCATTCATCAGCACATCTGGTAATCTTTGAGAGAATTCTTTTTTTTTTTTTCAATAAAAGCAAATCTTTTCAAAGGGAGGAAAAATATTAGAAATTAAAGGAGGTTAGGCTATAATTTGCAGTATTTTTTTAGTTTACATAATTTCAGTAGTTTGGTTGTTTCTTTCTCTCATCCTTGTTAAATGTATATTCTACCACCTGAAAGTGTCCTACCCAAGTTTCAGGCTGAATTAAGAAAACTCGTTACAGAAATAGATGCTCTTGTAGAAATGATTCAAATAGGTTTTTTTAGTCTTTCAAAGAGTTGAAACCTCTAGGGACAGGAAGTAGGAGCTTGTGATCCGTGATCTCAATCTTAAGGTTGTGGGTGTATTTTGATAATAGATAATCTGAGGGGGAATATCCTGGTTAGCAGATGTTTTCTCTGTAAAAGGGAGGCTGAGTCTTGCGATCAAATAGTTCTTCAGTGTCCATATACGTTTAAATTATGGACCACAGCCTGCGTTTTGTTGGGAATAAACTGGGCAATTGCTGGATCAGTCAAGGATGAGTTATGGGCTTGGAAAGGAATTAACAAAGGAAGGAAGCATGTAGAGCTCATTCCTCTTACAATATGTTGAGTTGTGTAGAATGAGAGAAATAAGAGAGCTTTTGAAGGAAAGGAAGAGGAGCTGGGTAGAGTTAGAGATAGATGGCTCCATGTGTTGAGGTTTTTTGGTGTTGAGGCACCCCATTCCTTCTATTTACGAGTTTGGGGATTGTATTGACTTACTAATTGATTTATAAATAATTTTGTTCATGAGTGGCACTCGCTTAGTGCTATGATTTAATGATGCGTTGTATTTTTTATTTCAGAAAAAATGATCTCAATCCTAAGACTCCTCTATAGAAGCCTCAGGCAATCACTTGTTATATACAACCCAAGGCATGATAGGAAGACACCACATCCTCATAGAGATTAGCAATATAAGCCTAGACCACATCCCCATAGAGTTTAGCAATATAAGCCTAGACCACATCCCCATAGAGATTGGCAATATAAGCCTAGACATGGTCTTGTAACATATCTACATTATCAGGAGGACCCTTAGTTTGCCAAAGAAGGATAGCTTGACAATGGTAGAAAGGTCAATGCTGATGACACACCATTTTATGACAGCTTGGATCCAGGTATCGTTTCATATTGGCGTAGTTGCATTGAGCATTTTCTTTATGCCCTAACTGGAATGATATGGAGAAGGTCTATCAAGCCAAATATGTGCCCGCTTATTATAAGCAGGATCTAAGCCAGCAACCATATAATCATAGGATCTGATTTTATTTAGTGCATGTCTAACTTCAAATGGTTTGTACGTGGGTGTCAGTGTATGAAGAGCCTAGCATAGAAGAGTCATCTTGGCATTTATAGGATTTCTGGAATAGCATATTATGTTAAATATGAAATAGGAAATAACAAGTTAATAGAATGGAATGCCACTGAGGTGGTAATCCAATTGATAAGATAACAGTATGTATTTCTAGCTGTTGTGGAAGGGAACGCTTTTGCTTGGGGTTCAGTAGGCCATGGCAAGTTTCTTTCTTGTATAGATGTTATAGTTCAAATTGAATAATTGAACTCTTATGGCCATGTGCAAGAAGTGTTTCTACCCCAGTCGCTGTTTTTTTCTTTAACAAAAAAGGTCTAAATTGGATAGAATTACAACCACATAATAAACCTATTATAAATAGTAAATAAACTAGTAAATAAGTTCCTAAATAAACTAAATATCTTGAATAGTATATAAAAGTTCATATCACAAAAGTAACTCTTAATACCATAATCTTTCCACTAGAGGGTATTTGTCTTCAACATTGAAATTGCATGTGTCTATCTCTTTATATACCGTTTTGAGTTAATTTCGTACTTTATCTTGTTTGATGTTGAGTTACTCATGTAGCATCCAGAGGATCAATCTACAGAGCACTAGGACTTATGGTGGCAGCATCACCCTGCGCCCTGGCTGTAGCTCCATTGGCATATATTACTGCTATCAGTTCCTGTGCCAGAAAGGTATTACTCCACTAATTGCCTGCCATGAGCTGTCATGGATATAAAATTTTTCCAATCAATCAGTGAATGCACATACGTAAACTGTAATTCTGTTCAACTATTTATTGTCTGTTAATGTCAAACAACTCGTTCAGAAGTATGTGTGATGCATTTTAATACAAAAAGTTTGTTCTTCGATGGAAGAACTTATGAGAGCAATTGGAAGTTGCTTGACAAGAAAGTGACCTTTATTTTTAGCGCTTCATAGTTGAAAGCAAAAGATTTTTTTGAGCAAGTTGTACCGCCCATCTTGGTGTTTAAACTCATCTACCACTGAACTATTCACATATTCTTCAATTAGATGGTGTAAAGCATTTAAACTTTATGAAGGACCAAATCTTAAAAATTTTTTCCTCTGGGAAATTGGTGAACAAAAAAAGAGGATTTTCAAAGTCCTTTTCATCTTTGCCTCGCAGTACTTGTTCGCTATCGGTCTCTCGCCCGTATTTAGCCTTGGACGGAATTTACCGCCCGATTTGGGCTGCATTCTCAAACAACCCGACTCGTTGACAGCGGCTCGTGGTGCGACAGGGTCCGGGCACGACGGGGCTCTCACCCTCTCCGGCGCCCCCTTCCAGGGGACTTGGGCCCTGGTCCGCCGCTGAGGACGCTTCTCCAGACTACAATTCGAGCGCCGGGGGCGCCCGATTCTCAAGCTGGGCTCTTCCCGTTTCGCTCGCCGTTACTAGGGGAATCCTTGTTAGTTTCTTTTCCTCCGCTTATTGATATGCTTAAACTCAGCGGGTAGTCCCGCCTGACCTGGGGTTGCGGTGCGAGCGTTCCCCGGAGGGGTACGCTAGGGGGCCCGTGAGCACAGGGCGCACAGCCAGACGAGACAGCGTCGCATTAATTCAACCACCTACTCGTCCTAAAATGTCTGAAAACAATCAAAGATTCCAAAATTTAGTTGAAATGAAGTGTAACTTGTTATAATCCAAACTTTTGCGATGATGACCTCCCGGTAACCATGATACTGTTTTTTTCTTCTTTTACAGGGAATATTGCTTAAAGGTGGTCAGGTTCTAGATGCTCTAGCATCTTGTCATACTATTGCATTTGATAAAACGGGGACCCTGACAACTGGAGGGCTTATGTTTAAAGCAATAGAACCAATTTACGGACATCATATCAGAAAGAATGCTTCAAGCTTCACAGCCTGTTGCACTCCTGATTGTGAAAAAGAAGCTCTGGCAGTAGCAGCTGCAATGGAGAAGGGTACGACTCATCCTATTGGAAGGTATTGTATAAAACGCATTTTTCCCTCGTAACCCTTACCTGTAAAATACATTTGCTTGATATTGCTCTGTAGAGTAATTGACATTGGCCTATTAAATCTGTAATATTTTTGTTGACAACCAAAATAATGAGTTGATCTAGACAAAGTCTCAACCTCCACCTCTGCAGTTAGATCGTATGAGATCTGTTAGGTACTCTAGACTAGTTTCCGGGGAAAAACCTAAATAGTGCCTTCACTCAAGATCTGAACAGCCTTCCCTTTACGTTTTGTTTTTGTGATGGACCTTATTTTGTGGTATCATTTACATTTTGTAGTTCATGTTAATGCTCAAATGATCCTCTGGTTTTCACAGTATTTCAGTCCTGGCATTATCGTTTCTCATTTCAAATTCAACTTCAGAAGACAACATTGCCAACCTAATGAAATGTATCTCCTTATCCAGGGTGGTTGGCCTATGATGTTGAAGTGAATATTTATAGATACAGATCCATGGATGAATTCTTAACAATAACTCACCCTCCCATATTTATGAAATTTAAGGATTTTATATTAGTACTGGATAGGTTTTCATGGTTCAGACGTTTTTCTTGTGACATTGATAATTCTACTGTTACAGGGCTGTGGTAGACCATAGCATAGGGAAGGACCTACCTTCTGTTTCTGTTGAAAGTTTTGAATGTTTTCCTGGAAAGGGTCTTGTTGCTACTCTACTTGGAGCTGAGGTACTGTGTTCTGCCCAGAAAATCTGGTGGTTGTTTGTTTTAGCATTTCAAGCAGATTAGTCCTTTGGTTATATGTTTTACATATCTGTTTGTAACACGTGAACATATTCTATGATCAAGTTCCTGGAGCTGTTAATTTCTTTAAGTAAATTTAGCTATTACTATGGTTTGCCTAAGATAAAAATAATTTATTCTCAAAACAAAATGACAAGATAGAAAAAGGTTGTATGATTTGTATCTGCAAAGTACATGATCTTCCTTGAGTGTTTTTTAATTTGTGTCCGCTCTCCATTTAAAAAAATTAGCTGCTTCAGGAAGGAGAGAAGGAAATAATAATAGAACATATCGTGAGGGAGCTATATCAAAATCTTATCCCATCCCCTGCTTATATACTCTAAATTTTGTTGTCATTCACAGAAGTAGTTTTTCCAAGTGCATGGTTTCCTGGGCATTAGTCTTCATACTCTTTTGTATGGAGTGCTCCATCTCTCTCCACTCACTTGGCTTATTATAATGAACACTACTTTATTATAGTCAGGAACTGGAGCTGTTAGAAGTTTAAAAGCTACACTTGGTTCTGTAGAGTTCATCACTTCACTTTGCAAATCTGAAGATGAATCCCGAAGGATCAAGGAAGCTGTAAATGCTTCTTCATATGGAAGTGACCTTGTCCATGCTGCTCTTTCTGTTGACAAAAAGGTGTCTATTCTTTTAAAGAGAGAAAAAAAAGTATACTTTCATTAATTGGGATTATTTATTTTACTTCTCTGTCTATTCTGATACTTTAGCTTTAGACCATAAATTGGACATTTTTCCTACATAGAGGGAGTAGTTCTTTGTAGATTGGGAACAGCATATTGTTGTCAGGGTAAACAATAACTAGCCATAACTTCCTGTCTAGGTAACATTGATTCACCTTGAGGATAGACCTCGCCCAGGGGTTTCAGATGTTATTGCAGAATTGAAAAATCAAGCAAAACTTCGTCTAATGATGTTAACTGGTGACCATGAGTCAAGTGCATGGAGAGTTGCAAATGCTGTGGGAATCAATGAAGTTTACTGCAGCCTGAAGCCTGAGGACAAACTTAATCATGTGAAGAGTATCTCGAGGGATATGGGTGAGTTTATTCATGTGAAGTATTTACTAATCTTTTAGATGTTAGATTGCAGGAGCATATGAAAGCAGATAAAAGAATAAGGAAAATCTGTGGCATCATCTTTACAATTTCTATTATTTTGTTTTCATGGAGGATTTGGAGATAGAAAATTATTAAAAAAATTGCATCTAGTAATTCCTACCATCATTTTTAGTGTGTACCTGAAAATTTAGCCGTGTGGATGAATACCGTATTGGCTCCAAAGCTTCAGAATAACCTGTCATTTTGTGTCTTAAATAGATTGACATATGTACCCATGCACTATTTCAAAAAAAAGATATATGTAGCCATACACATACAGGCAATAATGAATTGATGCACTTAAAGCAAAGTTACTAGATTAACATGCAAGTTTGTCACTGGATTAACATACCTTTCATTCTTAAAAAGTTAATAAGATTAACATGCAAGTTTATCACTACTGCTTTAAAAAGTACGGCAGAGACCTCTGCTGTTATATCAGGAAATGGCACTTCAAACACACAGTAGAAAATGATGACAGCGAGAATGACTTTAGAGTTTGAAAAGACGAAGCTGTATGTCAGTTACTTCACAAAACCCATGAAATATCATCTTCTTTGTCTCTCTTTTTTTGTTCAATGCTCCATTTTTCTTGTTAAACTCAAGAACATTTTATTTGTGAATATGATTAGCTATCTACATATTTACATTCGTAGACCTATCAAAATAATGAAAAATTATCTTATTGGCTTATTGAAGGAATACGTACTATCCAAGTTTTCTTTATTTTGTTTTAAATTTTTGACATGTTTGCCTGGTGTAAGTTTCATACTTTGCATAATTAAAAAAAAAAATTCCGGTGTATCTCAATCACTGAAAAATATTTTCTAAACTGCTACCAGAGAAATTGTTTTGCTTTCTGAAGAAATACTTTTTTTGAGAACATCATTTTCAAATGAAACTTAAGCATCCATGTTTTTTTCTCTTGCTGTGCTCTTCTGTCATGCTCTTTTGTGAAGTTATCTTGTGGTTTTTTTTTTTTAAGTGATTAGTTTAACAGGTTTTGAAATTTATCACAGGAGGAGGTCTGATCATGGTAGGTGAAGGAATTAATGATGCACCAGCACTTGCAGCTTCAACAGTTGGGATTGTGCTTGCTCAACGTGCCAGTGCAACCGCTATAGCTGTCGCAGATGTCCTCTTGCTAAGAGACAATATTTCTGGTGTTCCATTCTGTATTGCAAAGTCTCGCCAGACAACTTCCCTGGTGCCTGCCTGCATTCATGATGATGTCATTTTTTTGACCCTGCTTTCAGTGCTGTTGACTTGTGCTTATTGATTTGCAGGTCAAGCAAAACGTGGCCCTTGCTTTATCTGCCATAGTCTTGGCCTCTCTTCCATCTGTTATGGGATTTCTTCCCTTGTGGCTGACGGTATGAACTTTGCTAATTTGATGCTCCATAGGCATCATTCTTTTCGTATTCATGCCTTCCAAAGCCCACAGCAAAACTTTAGTTCACAAGTTTTTACATGTTATATGTAAGTTCCTAAAGTTTTCACTGGAATGTTTATTCCTAACTTTATCCTGCCAAATAAGTCTTCAGGTACAAAATGATTAGCGAGAAAAAAGACCATGCTGTCAAAAATTCTAATTTGCTATTAAATGTTCAAATTATAACTTAAAAAATTTAGCCATGTTTCATACACAGGATACTTTCTAAATTTATATATATATATATATATATGCACATGAAAAAAAAAAAGTTTCTGAGAATGAAAAGAGAATTTAGAAAATGACGAGAAAAATATAACACGAGTTTCAACAAGCTTTTATGTATGCAAATTCAGGAAATAAAAACTAAAAATATTTTTATTTAGTAATAACCATTCTATTATGCAATTATTTTTAAGATACTACGCTGCAAACTTCTGCTCTATGCCCTAGTGAATGCTTTTCTTTGTTTAAACTCACAGGTTCTGTTACATGAAGGTGGGACTCTTCTTGTCTGTCTTAATTCAGTTCGTGCCCTTAATGATCCTTCATGGTCTTGGAAGCAGGATTTGGGCCATGTAGTAAATGAATTCAAATCCAGGCTTTTGCCACCAACAAAGAATCCTACCAGCAGTTCTACCAACCAACCAGCAGCTTTGTAGCACCTTTAGGTTGGTTATCTTCTACATAATTTCCATTCTTTTTTGAGGTTGATATAGGCGAAAGAAAGAGCCACGATTCTGATTGGTTGTTCATATAAAGGAAGTGTAGAGAATCCTTAAGGTATATTGCAAGTCATGTAGTTTTGGAAGAGAAATTGATTTTCCCAAACACTGTACAAAATTGACAATCATCCATCAAATGCCTTTCTTCTTCTTCTTTAGGTTTTTATGACCGCACTAGCCCTTAGAGACTCTGGTAAATGTATTGGTTTTTCTTTCTCTTCAAATTGGATGGATGAAGGAGGAGTTTTTAACTTCATGAATTATTGAAAAGAAAGAAACTCAAATTTGAGATTTCTGAAGTGAGATATGTAGTTAAACTATAAGCATTCTAAGTTTAAGATGTTTGTTCTAAATGCATGCTCATTTCCTCTCCATTTAAGGTATATTGCCAACAGATGAATTATTTTTACAATATATATATATATAAATTTTAATTTTATAGAAAATTCAATTTTTGGTAAAGTTTAAAAATGATTTCTTATCATTTAAAGAAGTTCCATTCATTTGTTGGGTTATAAAAAAATAATAATAATTTCTAAAATAAATTTCAAAGGTAAATATTACAGAATAGTACCTTGATAGATGATTAATTCATTAGCCTCGTTTTGTAATTCAATATAAAAAGCACTAATTAGTGTTTGAAATTTTTTCTTTATAAGATATTATTAGTGATATACTGCACAAAACAACAATACATGTAATCCATATAAATTGAATAAAAAATAACTCTTGATTCCAGAGTTCACCCTGTTTTTCATTGTTCTCGGTAAGTTTAGAAAAGTTTGTATCAACTGCAACTGGCTTGGAGGTTGTAATCACCCAACTGTAAATTCACGGACCACTTAAATCAGTTAGTTGAAGTTGGTTAAATAGCAACCAGCAATGAGATAGTTAGTTTTAAATCAGTAAAACACAAAAAGAGTCAAATTTCAAGTTAATCGATTAAAAGTCGTTTTCCAGGTTTAAACAAGTTTCTGAGTTTGAAGATCAACCAAACACGCGTTTTCATTCGCTAACTGCCAACTGCCATTACTACAACTTCCCAACCACCTTTTATCCCAGTTTAGGTTCCTCATCCTATTTTGTATTTTAATTATTTAACCATAATCTACATTTTTTTAACGTAAATAAAACCCTTTAGCATGTACACTCAAAACTCAATAAATGCATGACGACCAAACTTAACTCAAACACAATGCAAACTAAATGAAAATTGAAACTAGTGTAAAACCAGTAATGATAATTGGCGAACAAATTCGTCGGAGATGAGATACAATTGTAAAATAGTTAAACGAGGCTTGGTTGTTATAAATTTTTAAAAAAAAAATTATTACTAAATAGGAAAATGCATAAATGGGAATTTTGAAAATTAGAAATATTATTATTACTAAATATTTTCAACCACCTGTCCATCTCCTTTTTTTAAGAACCCGTTTCATTAATACCAGCACGTGACTGTCTCTACGCGTTTTTTAGCTTAAAAATCCATTTCGGTTTTCAAAAGCTGCTGCTTCAACCCACAAATGACATGCCCCCCTCCCTATCATATATTTACACAAATAAAGCATACAGACACCCCCCACATGCCTTCTTCCATCCATATATATATGTGTACCTATATGTATTTTATATATACAACACCCTCACCATGTATCATAATTTACCCACACAATGCGAATATGTTGATTAAAAATAGTTAGAAATTTCCATCAAGTGTTTAAAAAATATATATTAAAACTTCAGATTTTTAGCAATTTTAACTTCAATATAAAATACCCAAAATTGCTGAACTACGTACGTAACCCATCAATTTTGCTTGTTTTTTTTTAGAATTTCAACTTTCTACTAAAACCCGTCCTGATTTTTCTTTTGATTTTTTAAAACCCAAGTGCCCATCGTGATACTTATCGTAAACCTTTAAAAGTCAATATTCTTTGAAAAATAAAAATAAAATTTCTGGATAAAAACATCATTTATCCCAAGAAACTAAAGAGGCCAGAGTTTATCAGAATTTAGATTACGACAGACTTAAAAATTGATGCTGAAAATTATGGAAATTCTTTTTTTTCCCCCTTCTTTTTCTAACTTTTAATTTTGCTAATTGCACAATTTTTGTCCATAGCAACCAACGGCCATCGATCGATCGATCAAAATTCAAAAGTTGGATTTTTTTCCGATCGGATTTTCGCGAAGGTGTCGTCTTGTCTTACTTGCCTTCTTCGCCTTACTTTCTCTCACTGTACATTAACCAAAATTATTTTCCCTAGAAAATTAAAAAGAAAACAAAAGAGAAAAAACAAAAGCCCAGTTTTCTCTCTCCGTCCATTTCTTTTTCTCTACTGTGTTCATTTGAGTTACAGGCTAATATAACAACCCATCTGCAATCACTACTCAATCTTCCCAACTCCAACCCGATTCATAGAGACAACATTCCTGAACCCACCATCACGGCCACCACTCAAGCTCTGCATACACATGCCTCCGATCCCACCTCCCCCGCCACCGACTCCGCCATTGCTATGTTGTATCTGCGGCTGAAGCCCCTCCATGTAGTTCCTCACTTCACTCCTAATCATCTCCTGCATCACAGCCATGAACTCCGTACTGAACCCAAAAAACCCTTTTCCAACTTCTTCCCTCCCCGCCGGTTCACGACTCACCACCGGCAAAAAGGGCACCACATTCGCGCTCGTGATCACATTCGAGTTTGCATTGGCGGCAGGCGGTTGGGTTGACTCGTTGATCCTGTTTGACACCTCGCCGGAGTCGACGCCGGGAAGGGATAAGCTCAACGAGGTAGGTGGGTCGTTAGAAGACGACGCCGTTTCTAGAGGAGGCACGACTCCACCTGCTCTCGCTACGGGTCTGTACACGTGGGAGGAGGACAAGACAGGTACGCTTGAATCGCTGACGTCAGACCCTGAAGGGCTCCCCGGGCTCATGTACAAACCCGTGGATACGGGTGGACCCGAACCCGCACTGTAGGATCTTTTCAGAGGCTGCTGGTGTTGGTTGTCGTCGGCCAAATTACCATCGTAGACTCCACAACCGAGGAGATTACCATCGTCAGGGACGACGGAGGCGCATTTCCTCTTCAAGGTCGAGTTCCAGTGATTCTTAATGGCGTTGTCGGTGCGGCCATTAAGGAGTCTAGCGATCGTGGCCCACTTATTTCCAAACCGCGCGTGGGCCCGGATTATGGTCTCGTCTTCCTCCGCGGTGAAGGCTCTGTGCTCCACCTGGGGAGACAGCTGGTTACACCATCTCAGCCGGCAAGACTTGCCGGATCTACCCGGAATCGACTTGCTGATCAGCGACCAGTTCCGTGGTCCATGCTTCTGCACCAGCCTCTGTAGCAGTTCGTCCTCTTCGGGACTCCATGGGCCCTTGATCCGATCCACTTCTTTCCTCGTTGAAGCCATCTTTCGCCGACTGTGGTTAACAGATCATATACGATGAATCTGTCAAAGAAAATATTTCTCCTGATGAGAGGTGGATTGTTTCAGGTACGAGAGAGATTGAAGAAGAAGAAGAAGAAGAAGAAGAAGAGGAAGAAGAGAAGAGGGTTGTGGTTTGGTATTTTGTTAGTTCAGAGGAGAGACAGAGGAGGAGGTGAGAGTAGGGAAAATATATAGAAGGAAAGGGTGACCGGGATAGCCGGTGGAGACGTTATGGGCACCGCTTCTTCCAGGCAAGCGGTTGGGCTTGGGATACAGCTGTCGAAATGGACACGTGTCGAATCCTGCACGCACTGATTTACATAAGTCACTGTCTCATCAAATTCTCTCTCTTCTTTTCCTAATTACACTATTTGTAACTATTTTTTCTTCTTCCAAACTTTTTCTGTACTCTGTCACCTGGAGCGTCTACACCACTCTCTTCCCTGCCCTGGCCCTTATCAACTATCCCGAGGGAGCGCCTCTCTTCCTCGTAATTTTTTATAAAATTATTCTCTTTACACTTTTCGGAGCGTCCCCGCTGATTATTATTAATCTTAATTATGTTCGTTAATTTGATTAGCTTCGTTAAACAAAATATTTAATTAATTTAGCTTCGTAAGGAGGAGCGTCGAGGGCACGCACCCAAGAGGTCGTGGGGGTAGATTATCTCCTGATAAACTTCTTTATATGGTGCGTAAAATTCACTGTTGTGGAAGTTATAAAGACAAAACCAAAAAACTCTGTAACGATAAAAAATGAATAAACAACAATTTTATTAAAATATTATTAATTATAAAATAATAAAATATCTGAGATAAGGATGGCAACGGTTGGGTAGAGGTTCC